GAATGTAGATATGTGTGTTTTCATGGGTTCTCATTAGAATGGTTGTGGGAGAATACATGGCTGGACAGGCTGAATATAATACCTAGTTGAATGGGACAAGGTAAGTTGGGACTATGGGAAAGGTTCATATTACAAATGAAACAAGTTCTTACACTGATTACATTTTTCAGCACAGTTGTAACATGATGTTATGACTGTCAGCATGGAAAGCAAGTTGATTCTACATCTCTAGCTCATATTATGAACTCTCTATTTAAAGAGTTTACAAAGGACCAGTTAATTAAAGACCTGTCCTGTTAAGGATCTTTTCTGCATGTCTTTATCCAAATGCTTTCTCTCTCTGGTGTGTGCACCCCCATACAGTCTAAGTGCATTTCAGACATTCTGCAAAGTGGACTTTATTAACACAGAGCTGTGAAATTACATGGGGAAAGATTTTTTTTTCATGTGCTTAATTGGGTAAAGCTTTCCAACATGGACATAGGAAATACTTATTTTAACCATCTCTGATTTTAAAAGGACTCTTCATGTTAGATGCTTATGTGAACCTGATCAACTTGCAGGTTTGTGCTGTAAGGAATGAATAACAATAAGCAAAACAGAATACCCAGTGAAGTAAGAAGTAATTTATTCCTGTTGGCTTTCAGTTCTGGAAACCTGTTAGATCACGATTTAAGTAAGCATAAAAGATACAAGGCTGTAAATAAGATAAAACACATCTAAAATTCACTCCTGTGTTAACAGCATAATACCTTAAAAGGGAAACTGTGCCAATAATTGCATCAGTAGCTTTTTACAAGATGATGATAAAAGGCAAAAGAAATCTCTTCATTCCCAAGATAGCTTCATACAGCAACCAGACATGGAATCATCTTCCAATCTTCACTGCCAGCATCCACTATATACGAAGTTCTTGGATGTCCAAAATGTTGGACATTTTGGTCGGTTTGGTCCATTTAAAACCCCCAGAACAGTGGTCAAGGACATTCCTTCACTCCTGAACAAAAACTCTTGGTAAGTGTATCCTTTTAATTAAGTTTTACCATGTTTTAATATTAAACAGTATATTTTAGAACAATTGCGCTGAATAATGATGACAGATTTTTTGCAAGTTTTTATGTATTTGGCAAATGTAGAGAAGGACGTAACATGAATATGAAAAAGATATATGAATTCATGGACAAAGATACTGAGAGATTACCTAATTGAAATGTTAACATTAGTTCCTTTTATTTTTTCAGTTTCATGAAAATGAGGAGGAGAAATCCAAGGTCATTGACCATGCAAATTAGTAGGGACATCTGATTCTTGAGGGAGTGAAATAACAGGCCAGTCCTCTCATGTAGCAGTACCTTAAGACCAACCAACAAAAGGTATAATTTTAAAATTACTTCACGTTGCTATGTTTACACAAAAGGGATATGTAATTATGGGAACTCTATATACAGTTTTTGTTATCACAAATAAATATTAAATGCTAAAATTGTGTAACAAATGCATCCTACAAGTGAAAACAGATGTAATTTATGTCTTAATGGCCTTGATTTATCCTCCAGTCTAGAAGCTTCTTCAGCAGTATTTTTATTCATTCAATCAATAGTACAGTTTTGGATAATGAACACTCATCTTCTTTATGTTTAGTCTAAACTCTCCTAGTTAATAATTCTCTACTGACTATTGTTCACAGAAATTAAATTAGCATGAGCATCTAGATGGGGAGTAGGTTGTTACCAAGATGAATTAGAAGTAACATTAGTTTTTGAGGTCTGGGAAGGCATTGAGTTATCAGCAGCAAACACAGAGATCAGTTCAACAGTCCAGGAGTATCTTGCACAGTACATGAATATTACACTGAGTTTCCCATTCTAATCTTGCTCTACAGACATTAAAGAAGAATTCTACATTTCCAATGGCACAAAGTCAAAGCCTTGCTTGGCCAGCTGGATTCTACATCCCTTCCTGTGCAGAGAATCACTGCACCTGATAATTAAACTTTTCAGTTAACACTCCATTAAGATTTATGGGGAAAGTACATATTGGTGCTGTTGTTCGTAACATTTTTGGCTGCAATCTTTACAAGACAAAGCTGCATAAGTTTCAGCCCTGAAATTATCCTTTCATTAAGAAGAAAAAAATTATTAATGTGATTCTGAAGATACTTTTACAAACTTTGAAGGCAAGTTTGATCATATTTGGATGTTGGATTACTCCAGGACTACAAACAGATTTTTTCACTGAAGTTCAGGCAATTGGAAAGGTTTTTCATTTTGCCTCTCTTGTTAGAAGGAAATTTCAAAAGCATCACAAGACTGCTATCCTACACAACACAATGGGTCATATACTCATTATATGTCATATACTCATTATATATATCTATATATATATACTCAGACAAGACTTATTATCATATGCTCCCTATTTTGAACTGGGTGTACTGCATACATGCAACTGATAGCTACTTAAAGGTGAGGCAGGATGAACCTGAACATTCACTGTATCTATCAGTCAATATCAGCTATGTTTAAAGTTTGACCCAAGGGTCTTTCATGCAGTTGCTCTAAAATGTGACCAACTGACCCCTTATTTATTTGAGTTCATGAGAAAATATAGGATACCATTGCCTTCTTGAAAGAAAAAAAAGTGGCAGAGGAGTGAGAGAGAATACTTTTTTCATTGCTTTGGTAAAAGGTGGTTACTATAACTGCTCTTCCAGTATCCGGTTCTTAGTATTTTATCTCCCATCTTTGATGTGTAAGCTTGTGACATCCTCTGAAGTGATAAATAAAGGAACTTAAGACACTAAGTTCCATCTCATAGCTTGAATGTTGTTCTATCCACTCGTCACACATTCAGTTCTATTCCAAGTAGTATTCTGATTCATTTTCATGTTAATATCTGAGCTTTTGGCTCAGAAAAATGTTTCCTCATGTCATGTGGACACATTTTTAATATAATCTTATGCATCCCAATAGTAGTGGTCTTTTTGCAGTTCTGAAGCGGTGTCACTGGATGCATCTACACTTTTATTAATGCACCTTAGATATTGTGCATTTAGTTTAGTACTTCCTTAATAAAGTACTAATTCAGGGATAGGCGACCCCTGGCACATGTGCCAATTAGTGGCATGTGGAGATATTTTCCTTGGCATGCTAGGTGTGCTGAGGAAATTGTTTAAAAAAAATTTTTATAAGTTGCTGCTTCGGGCTTTTTCAAGAGACTCAGGAGGTAGACAGTGCCTGAAGAGCCCTCGGGAGGAGCTGTTAGGGGAGGGGGAGAAGCCCCTTCTGCAGCTCTTGCTATAGCACCGCCAGCAAGACAGGCCTCCCCTGCCGCCTCCTCCCTGCTCAGCAGTGGCTGCTGCAGCTCTGCCTGGCCTGCCCCAATGTGTCCTCCTGCAGGCTGTCGGGAGGATGTGCCTGTGCTTGGGAGAGCAAAGGGCGAGGTGTGGAGGAGGACACTGGCTGCCAGCCCCACCCTGCCAGGTAAAGCCATGGCTGGGGGGGGCAGGGAGCAGCAGCAGCATCGCCTCAGTTCCTCATGGCTGCTGCAGCTGCAGCTGCATCAGAGCTGCTTGGCTGAGAAGAGCCCAAGGTGAGAGCAGTGGGGCTGAGATTGTGGTGTCTCCCCTCCCCTCCCCTCCCTGTTGTGCTGCCTTCTTCCTATTGCAGTGCAGGTGCAGCCCTAGGTCAGGGGGCCCTGCCTGGCCCAGGGTGGCATCCCTCCCCCACCCCCTGGGGAGGAAGCAGATGGCTGATGGGTGCTCTGGGTTGGGGCCTCAGCAGGCTGCACTGCAGCCCAGGGTCAGCTCCCTGGGGAAGCACAGGGGCTGCAGTGGGCATGGGGCATCATTGGGTTGGTCTTTGTCCTACAGCCCAGCACCAGCAGCCCAGCCTCGTGTGTGTGTGTGTGTGTGTCTGGTTGTGCATGTGTGTGTGTTCGTCTGGTTCTGTGTGTCTGATTGTGTGTGTGTGCACTTGCACACATGTCTGTTCTGTGTGTGTGTTTGTGTGTGTGTCTGGTTCTCTCTCTTTCTCTCTCCTTTTTTTCTCTCACCTCTCCTTTTTTCTTTCTTTCCCTCTTCCTCTCTCTCTCTTTCTCCCTCTCCTCTTTTTCTCCTCTTTTTCTCTCTCTCTCATCACAATGTGCTTAAAAAAAGAATACACAACAGAGGTAGTATATGAAGTTTTATTTATTGTCACCAGGTTTAGAAGTTTCAGAAAACCTGGTATTTACTGGGAAAAAGCAACATTTATGATTATTAACTATATTAATATGCAACGTGTCCTACCATGGATCCCCCACCTCGGTTTTGTTTTTCTGGCATGCCAGCACTCCAGCACCTTACACTGTAGATATTACAGGTTTTTTGGCACTCTGGCCAAAAATGTTGCCTACCCCTGTACTAAATGCGCAGTACCTAGAGTTACTGCACAACAGCACCAGTGCATGGTTTAGTGATGCGTACTGTGCATTAGCCTAATAATAACACTGCACAGTAGGCTATTAGCATGGTTTTTGAAAAAAGAGACAAATGAGACTAACAGAGGTTTTTAGCAGAAAGAGGGACTTGGAAGGGATCAAGACACCCGTGAGGAAGTGAGGAATCTAAGTGAAGTAGGGGTGCCAGAGGATCTTTGGGTGTCTATACACATACTCCGGGGGGGGCTTTAATTAGAGTGGCTCTGAGAGAGTGGCTTTAATTGAAGCACCCGCAGCGTCACATGTATTTAGTGTCCAGCGCTACAAAATGGCAGCGGGGGTGCTTTAAGCATCCCTGCCACCATTTTGAAACACGGGGACGCTGAATACATGTGATGCAGATGCTGCTGGAATGTACTAATTAACATGCTCCAGCAGACTTGCAGCAGACTCAGTTAACTGAGTCTGTTCCGACACGTGCATTGGAGCAGAAGTCCATCACATGTATAGAAGATAGGGCGACCTGCCATGTGAAGGAGAGAGTAGGGAAATGGGGAATTCAGGGCAGAAACAGGGAAGGAGGCCTAGGGAAGATGTGATCAAAATGGGAGATGGAAAGCGAGAAAAGGAAAAAGAAATATGTAAATAAAAGGTTAGAGAAAGAAAGAGCCAATACTCAGCTTTCAGTTTACAAGTTTATGCTGAGATTTATATTTTCATTTTCTTCATTTTGTGGGGAAGGCTACTATTTGTAGAAAGCAAAATATTGTTTTCACCCTTTCCCTTTCGCTCTTCTGATCTTGACTTACTGTCTTCCAGGGTGGAAGAAGCTCTGTGCACCTTTCCATATAGGGTTGGCTCATTTTAAATTAGAACATGTACAAGAAAACTTTGAAGGCACTTGGGAGAATGTTGCATCTCCCTAAGGTGCCTTCTGGTTACCTGATACACTTTGGTGGTTAATGGTGTTCTAGGATATTATAAATCTGTCCAGCCTCCTGATTACAAGCTGCCAGTACTGGCAATTTAAGTTCTATAGATCTCTAGATTCTGCAGGAAATCTTCTATTTCAATAAAATCTTAATTTTATAAAATCATGTTGACTTTGTTGAAGCTAAACAATCTAGGGACATAGAACTCAGGGACTGGGTGTGCACGCTTGCTTTCAACACCAGATATCAGCTGCCTGATTAGATAGGGGAGCATCAGTAAACTTCCTAAGTGAAGTGGGGTGAATAACTGTACTATCCAGAAGGATCCTCTGAACAATTTTTGTAATAATCTAATTAAAGAAGTTCCAGAGCTTCTAAGTGACTCTAATGAAAGGTGATGACAACTGACAGAGCAAGTTATAAATTGAGAAGGTAGCTTGAGTGTAATTTAAATGCCCAGGGGGTTTAGCAAGTAATGTAACATTTAAGAGCATTCTTAGACGTGCTCCAGGAGGCAGGGAAGGGGTGTGCTTTAATAAGAGTGGCTCTGAGCTCCTCTAATTAAAGTCACGTGTATCAGCATCTCTGCGCTGAAAAATGGTGGCAGGGATGCTTTAACTAAAGCTCATCAAACCAGCTTTAGTTAAAGTGCTCCCGCTGACATTTTTCAGTGTGGGGGTGCTGATACATGTGATGCTGCAGTGTGCTGGAGCACAGTAAATACCACACTGTAGCAGGCTCGATTAATCGAGTCTGCTCCAACATATTGTAATTATAGTGTGTCAGAGCAGCCTCTCTGCATGTGTGTAGTTGCCCTAGGGAGGGTATTAGAAGGTTCACAACAAAAAAGCTCACTTTTGTTGTATACCTTCCTACTGGTATTTCTGCTACAACCCCTTCCACCCAATCCTTCGGGGCCAACTGCAATTTGGCACGAGTGCGGTGAGGGCAGAGGAATTGCACCTGAGTACCAATACTGAAGTTGACCATCAGGGTGTCTGTTACTTTCATTTACTCTGAGA